CGGGCGGGGGGGGACGGGGACGAACGTGTCCAATCCCACGGCTGTCGGAGGGGGGGGCGGGGAGAGCCCTGCCTGAGGGAAAGGCCCCGCTCTGGCAGCTCGGCTGTTCCTCCGCTGTCACTGCTTGTCGTGGGAGAACATGTAAGAAAGGCCTCTGAAAGCTGTGTTTATTGAAAAAGCAAGAAAGAAACACGCTTCTCGGTAAAAAAACCCGAAACGGTACCTTTCAGCTTTCCTTCCTCCCCCGCATTTTAAAAAAAGCAAAAACCAAAACCCATGGGTTTTACACATGGAGAAGGGGGAACTACCGAGCTTCAACCTTGCTAGTAAGGAAGTTTCTCCTGTCTTTATAGTTTGAATCTTCACTTTTCCTCAGTTTCTTGTGACTGGCAAGGAGGATTCTCTGTGCCTTGGTTTATGTGGCTGCCTGAGGTTTAGTATTGGGATGTTTTTTGGTGTCTCAGTTGTTTGATACGCTGATGTGGGAGTATTATGTATTGGCTAAAATACATAATGTACGTTATTATGTATGTAGTAAACAGTATTATGTACTGGCTAAAAAAGCAACCTTTTTATTCTGGGTTGTTAAGTTCTATTTGTCAGGGTATTTTCATCCCCGGACCGTTTACACATCCAGTTTCAAATATGTGTCTTGCCGCCTTCCCTCAACCTCCCTATTTATAAGATCAGGGAGTCTGAAACAAGAATAAGTTGGTATTGTTGTGAGACCCTTTACAGCATCGCTCAGTGTGAAAAACTATGTTTTTCACCGTGCATGACAAATGCACATGCAGTTTTGTGCAACAGAAGTGCTGTGAGGATGTGTAAAGAGACCTGTAGCTTTATACCAGTTCTCATAGCCCGTAAAGCCTGCTATAGAGAGCTACGTGTTTTCTAACTAATAATTAGCTTATGAGCTGCCATTAGTTAGCTATTTACCTATGAAATTACTTCTGCTGTAGGCTATTTTGCTGATACAGAAATATGAAAAAGACAAAGAATAGGGTACAACCTTCTTTAGCACACTGAAACAACAAATCAAGTACAATGATGTACTTTAGAAGTTTTTTAATAGGCTGAAAGTTTGAAAAAATGACAGCAAGAAAGGAGTAGGTTTTTATAAGCAGCAAAGACTATATGTAAATGTGTCACTAAGCAAAAACAGAATTGGTGGGGAAGGACACACGTAAGCTTTGTAGAATATCTGGGGTACAAGTTACTATAACATTTTACTTTTTGTTTTTAAGGCACTTAAAACTACTTATAAGAGCCCGTGGAATACACTTGGTGATAGTAAAAGAAGCAGTAGAGCTGTTTGGCCTGTGACAGAATTATGGTTCGACTAACAACAGACCTACTTGCTAAAAGCATCAGTCGCAAGAATCGCAATGAAGACGACTTTGGACAGTATCTGCGAAAAATAACTCATCTGAATTTCTCAGATAAAAATATAGATGCAATTGTAAGATTTATTTTTCTTTGTTCTTTTTAACCTGACTACTGAAATGTTTGTAGTTACTGTTCTGATGAGTTGTTTATATTTGGGGAGACAAACAAGCAAAGCCAAGTTTCTATTTTATAACAGGTGTGTTATGTTTTAACATTTATATTTACTTGCCGTTAAGCCTTGATGATATGTCTGTTTGGAAACATGCTTCAGCATGCACTGCTGTTATTGTGTGGAACACTGCTTGTATGTAAAAGGGTTTAAATGGTTTTAAAATTTGAAAATAATCTTTCAGCTGTAATTTTTCATATAAAATATCAAAGCGGGTGACTGTGCTTCCAACGGTCTACAGGTTTCTTATTGTCAACCTGATGCTTTTTTCTTTATGTGGCAACAATCTTGTTGAAGTATTTTGCTTACCTGAAACTGTGGAAATAGATATCATCTGTGTAGCAAGAAGGATGTTATTGTTACACTAACTAATTTTGCCATTAATTAATTAAAATAGAAAATCCATGTAAGCAATTACAAAGGAGAGGTGAACTGAAGTGTTAAAGTGAAGTCTTTTTTGCAGTATTTCACAGAACTATTACAGAAATCTGCAGCTCTAAAAAAAATCAAAACAATTTTACTATTTTGATTATTTCATACAGCTGCTACACTGTAAAGGAGTCCCCAGAATGGGAGTGATAACTCCAGTTGCTTACCTCTTTAGCCACTTAAGAAAGAGAATATTTCAAATTAATAATTTAGACCTGACACTTTTCCTATAGAATATAGCCAGGCTGTTGCCATTGAATCAGTAGGTGTAGGGCTTTGACAGCAGTGCTCTAATCTGGCTGAATTGTTCTTGGAGACTTCAGGTCTGAGGTTAAGAAATAAAGTTCGTGTTTTCAACAACAGTTTTGGTTTTGATTTAAAGACTTGTATTTATTGAGCATTACCTTTATAAAAATGCAAACTGTGGAAGAGAAGGAGATGAAAGGAAATAGTAATTTTGCAGACCAGGGTTGTTTTGTTTTGTTTTTTAAGGAAGTAGTAATGATACTACATTCTATAAGTGCAACACTTATTTTCTTCTCATTAATGCCATATTTTTTGGGTCCATCTATGATTTATTCCATAGATTTCAGAGGAAGTCTGAGAAAGGAAAGGAGAGTTCAGTAACAGGATATAAGCCGAATGAGGTTAACAGATTTGGACTGGTGTAGTGGGTTTTTCAAATTAGTCAGGTTAAAACCTACTTTTTTTTTTTTTAATTGCTCCCTGGGGCTTATTTATTTAAAAAATAATCCATGACCTTTTCATTTTCAAAGACTAAACCTGCAAACTTAACCCAGTCCTCCTTCCTATGAGTTTAATAATAGGAAATTTATACAGGTTTCAGTAAGCCCTGAGTTGATTCAAATCCCCTCAAGATACTGAGCACGTTTTGAAATTGCTGAACCCTGAACAACTGAAATGTTATGCACGTTGAATTTCTGCTTTAAAAACAGAAGTGTGATTTCAGTCAAGAAGATTAAATAGCTTGTTCTATGTGAACAGGATCTATGCAAGCAAATGGATTTGTTCAGCCGACTCCTAGCAGTGTGCACAGCCATAGCAAGTTACTAATGTGAGCAGTCCATTTGGTTAGGACTGGTTCATCAGATGCCATAGAGAAGTTTTACAGAAACCCTTGTAAGAACATGTGTCCTTTTAGTTATTTGACAAGAACACATTCAAAGAAACTTGACATTTGAGTAGAATCTTAGACTCAGAAGTGTATTAAAATACATTAATGTGCAAGTTTTTGTATAAGTCAGTATTCCTTTGCCAAGGACTGGTTTCTGTTACATCACTGAGGTTTGATGAAGACAACTCCACTTTGCACTTGTGCTTTTCTGAAATCTGCCTGACAAAGGCAGGGAAGGAAATGAAGTCACACAGGATGTGATGTGCCTGCTGATGATGGCTGTAGTCCTCATCTTCTGTATGGCAGAACAGGGATGACAGATTTCGGTCTCAAATCTATGCAGGAGATGACTACTGACATTCAATGTTTCTAGGAAAAATAGTTTTAAAAAGTGTTTGTTAAAGATGAAAATATGTAAATCATGCAGCAGAACGTAACTATAAAAACAACCAACAGCTTCCAAAAGCAGACAGTGAATGAACTCTATGTAGCATTAATTTGTTGTTGTTTATTTCAGGGTGATCTCTCTTTGTGTAAAAATCTTAGAGTTCTGTATTTATATGATAACCAAATCAGTCAAATCCAGAACCTGGACTTTGCTTCAAATATAACGCACCTTTACCTTCAAAACAATTGTATTTCATGTATGGAAAATCTCTCGTCGCTGAAAAACCTTGAAAAACTGTAAGCTGAAAATCATGTATTTATTTTATTAGTAAAAGAATAATTAGTACACTAAGAAATTTAAAAATTATGTAGTCATTAAGGTCCTTTCAGCTGTTAAATTTTACTTTTCAAATAAAAGTAATTGCTTGTGATTTTTTTAATGAAGTGTTCTATGACATAAGTAAAATAATGACATATCATCTTAACATATTTATTTGCGTTTAAATTATTTTTTTCAACCATCTAACAATAATAATAATAATGATAATAATACTAAGTACCAATATATAAAACCTCTAAAAAAACCTTGTGTCTGTTAGCTGTATGTTCTGCTCACATGCTAGGTTATTTACTTTTTCTATTATAATTCCAGGTATTATTCTATAATACATTTAAAAAATTGGGTTTTTTAATATATTGAGGGCTTGTGTTCACTTTCACCTTCAAAGGATACTAAAACTATTTTGTGTTCTATTCTGCAGCTATCTGGGGGGCAACTGCATCACTGTTGTAGAGGGTTTGGATAAATTAGAAGAAATAAGGGAGCTACATATTGAAAGTCAATGCCTCCCACTTGGTGAAAAGCTTCTGTTTGATCCAAGAACTCTTAGATCCCTGGCAGTAAGTACGTTTTGAGAATCTTGATAAGCCTTTAGTCAGTAGATCAGTATTTTTAAGAGAAGTGATTAGGACTTAATCACTGCGTGTTTTCCTTTTCTGCCAATTGATGGCATTCTTTCAATCTGTACCAGGGGACTCCCATCCCAGTTCTTATATAGGCAAGGAGTCCAGCAAGGTTCCACTTCTTCATTTATTTTTCTGTGAAGGATGGAAATGAGAATAGAGAGAGGAAGTAGGGAAATGTGCAGACGCCCTATACCAACAGAAAGTGAATAAACTAAAAAAGGGGTAGGAATTTATCACAGTTATCTGAGTATACTTAGTTTGTAGTAAATTAGTTTGTTGATACTTCTCTAATTTGATTGTTACATTAGACTATTTACTGGCTCTTGTATTTCTGTAGAGAATGCAATGACAAAAAAGGTGCAAACTGCTTTTTTCTGTACATTAAGAGCAACACAGTTCACTTCTGGTTCTCCAGTTTTTCTGTGTGGTGGTGTGTCAGGATTTCAGGAAAGTCAGCTTTTGAAGTTTTCTTTCAATGTATTAGTTGCTCAGTAAACATAAAATGTATTGTTGAAGTGGTTAGAAAAGAAGTAGACTTTATTTACTAATGGACGTAGTTCTAGACTAAAAAAATTCATCTTGCTGTATCACCCAAAGAGGAGTCAGGGCTCGAGCTTTTTCGTGAAGATGTAGAACTCACTGAAAAGTAAGTGCTTTTGTTCATGTGTATATCATAAACATTTGACCTAGCTGTAATTCTTGCTGTTTTGAGATGAAGTAATCCAAGACATTTATTACCATTTTCCTTTAATAGAAATGAGCCATTCCTGTGACAGCACTTTTACTTTGTTCCTTTTACATTGGAGAAATGATGAAAGTAGAGGGAGGTTATATAGCTGTAATCTTCCCAGGATGATAACTCATACACTTCAGTGCTTTTTCAGCATCCTGGCCTAGAGTCACTACCATTTTGTTCTTCATATATTTTATTTAAGATCTTTTGGTGTGGGTGTTTTTTTTGTTCTGTCTTTTCAAGAAACACTTTCCATTCTTGACCTGTATGTAAAAACATTCTGTTTATCCTTTAAGTACTAAGTGTTTGTTCCCTATTTAAGACATCACTTTTTTGTCTCTTTTATCTGTTTTTGGCTTTTATTGCTGTCAGAGTTGAAAGAGCCAAAAACATGCGGCCATATAGCTCTCTGCCACGAGCAAATGTTTTTGTGATGAATATCAACATTAATATCGTGAATCTTTTGACTGAGGTGATGAAGTTTATGCACTATGTGTATCAGGATGATACTGGTAATTTCTGACTGCAGCGTAGATCTTGGTCAGATTTTAGAAGGGAGTTACACTGCTGAAATAGATATTTTTCTAACAAATGATAAATTCCATATCTGGTATAATTCTAAACTCACTGGATTAGGCACCTTTTTTCATCTTTTAGAGATATAAGCTTCTTGTTCCTTTTACCTGAAACTACATTATTTCCTGAGAATAACACCTGAAACACATTTACTTTTTATCTAGAATGTAAAGATCTAACTATTGACTGTTACAAAAGGCAAAGCACATTACGTGACTCACTAGTGTTCCAAAGAAGGGACAAGGAACAGAAGTACGTATACCGAGAGGTTTTTAGGATCAAGCCTGAAAGAAAAACAGCATAGTCCAGCTGTTAAATGAGACTACGTGGGTATCGGGTGTGGATTTCAGCTCTGTGGAGTTCAGCTGTAACGTTGGAAAAGGCAGTCAATTTCTGTGTCTGTTTCATACTTCGAAGGTAGAGTTAGTAGCACTTGTGGAACTCTGTAAAGCATTAGAACATGTTTAGAGAAAACCAGAAGCTCTGTATTTAGTAAGAATTCCTGAAATAATTGAGAAATAATCTTACTTTGGTTTGACTTCAAAACCAAAATAGCATTTTAGGACAAGATGCATAACCAACATTAAACAATTTGTGAGGTATATGGTAGTTATATTTGCATGTTTCTGCTTCATATGCTTGTTTCTCCTTTCAGAGAATTTTATGTAAGAATTTGCAACTTGACTCACATATGGCATGAAAAAAACAATTTTCTACTTTTCTCCTCCAGAAATCTTTGTCTGTGTTGAATATCAGCAATAACAACATTAATGAATTAAAAGAACTGGCAGTTTTGGAAAATCTTTCTTACCTTAGAGCAGTTGACAATCAACTTCAACATATGAAGGTATTAAAATAACTATTTGTTCTCTTTAGTGTGGGTGGTAAGAAATTAGTCAAATTCATCTTTATCACTAAATAGATGAGTAAAAATAAACTTTACTTCTACAGTTACTGAACCTCTGACTTTCCAAGCATGCTTGTCTTTTCTCATCCAAAAATCTTGTTGAGATTAAAAATGGAGAACCATTTATCTAGGATGTCCAAATGTCCTTTAATCCTACGTAAAGTGGCAACTGTGCATGCATCTATCAACTGAGCAGTAAATGCACGAAAGTTATAACTAAAATATAATATGTCCAAAATGTAGACTTAGAGTGTATGTTTTGGCCGTTTGAGTGACTATCAGTGGCTTAATTTGCAAAGATGACGTGGCAATTGTTTGTTCATTAACTTGCAATAGTTTACCATATTACAGTTTTCAGTTCTCTATTTTAACGTCAATAAAAGCCGCTTCTTGGATATCAGATTATCTAGCTGATTTTGCAGCCATTTTAATATCAAAATGACTTTTCGACTATTGTTGCTGGAGTAGCATAAGAAGTATTTGTCATGAAACTATGCATTGAATTTCTTTCATAAATTTCTGCTAAGGAAATACATGTCTTCATAAACAAGAGCTCTAACTTCCACAGCAGCAGTTAAAACGAATGAAGTAAAAATATTTTTGCTCTTCTTTTGCAGTAGTGAATGTGGTTCAAACAGAATGTTCTTGACTTACAATTTCCAGCTTATCTTCTGAAAAATGAACAGGAGTAGTGGCATTGTCACTTCTCTGTATTTTTATAAGTTATGATTTCTTCTACTCTTGACATAAAGAGCAGTTAAAGCAATAATTTTAGAGTCATGCTAGTAACTGAATATCAAATTTATGGTGAATGGTGTGGTGACACCATCATTTCACAGTGGAGGCATGGAACAGACTTTATAAATGACTTCATAAATACTGTTTTTATTTAATATAGACCATAGGCATTAGTTTTCTGCTTTTTTTTTAAATTCATATTTTTATTAAGAAATACTAAAATGAATTGGCTTGAATTGTAACCCAAATCACCAAGACAAAGCCTTGATTAAAATAAACTCCCTCATTACTGGTTTGCATGTACATTCTATTTTCTTAGAAAAGTTAATTTTCCTTCCTTAATTAATTCCTTAATTATTAAAATAACTATTCATATTACTTCTTAGAACACTTAATATCTTTTACATTAAATTTGGCAGTTCTGTTTACTAATGAGGAGATTCCAGTACTTTGTGTACATTTTCTAGCAATTTTCTAGGTCAATGCACTTTATTTGGACTCTTAATTTTTTACATTTTAATATTAAAAAAAAAGTTGAATGATGCATTTCTTTTTCTACAAGAAGATTATTAATGTATTGTATTTCAAACTGTGTTTCTGACTGGCAGTTGCGATTGAATTCATATCAAAATACAATTCATGTAGGCTTTTTCCGGGTAATTGAAACCACATTGAATGCGTGAGTTACACCAAGATAACAGTAAGCTTTTTGAATAGGTAGTCTCTCTACAGCTTCCCTTTTGAAAAGGATTCCTTTTCTAAATAAAACATATTACAGTGTGTTTTTTTAATTGTCTTTTTTCTTTCTTATAAATACAAAAGACTTTGTTGTGATGATCTTAAAAGAAGATTGTCTTAGCCAAAGAAACAATTATTTTTAAGAATAAGGATGCCAGTTCAGAGACAGCGTTTTCAGTGTCTCAGATTCTGAAACAGAATAAGGAGAGGACAAAAAGACTGCATTATTCAGTAACTGTGTATATATTATTAATCATTATTAAATTTCATTCTTTCATCATCAGCAAGACCAGAGTTAAAATTTACCCAGATCAATTAGACTTTTAGATTTCTATATTACACGGTCACAGCTTTTGAAAAATTATGTGGTTAGCATTTGAGTTAGCAGCTGCTGCTGCTGCTATCAGTTACACATGGATCAAGCTCTGGTAAATTTTGAAAGTGACTGTCCTGTGCACTTTCTAAACAATCTTCGAGTTTTGAAAATATGGAGCAGATAGAGTATTTCTATTCATATTCTTGCACACCTGTAAAATTAATGACCGTATTGAATGCGTCTAACATACAGTGTAATGCAGCTGGATATCCAACTTTCCAGCTACAATTACTGTGTTTTAGAGACTGCATTGTAGTAGGCTCTACTTTCCACCAAAATAAATTCTTATTTAAATAAATTTTTAAAAACACCCCAAATTGTTGAAAAAAGTGGTAGGCCATGCAAAGTATACATGTATGTGAAAAACAAAAGTCAGGTTTAGCTCTGTTTAGGAGGCTTTAACTTACAGTGAACACATAGTGGGAGAATAATCTCATACATCCACTAACTGTTTTTTAAAAAATAGTTGAGGCAAGCTTTGAGTATGTTTCCACTTTTTTGCAACCCTGAATTTCATGATTCCATCGCTTACATTACTCCACAACTGTGATAGCTGAAAGGATGTTAGGGGGTGTACAGTTGTACTACATATACTTAATTGCTTCTGCTGGCTGAACTTGCTACCTGCAGCAAAGGCTCTTTCATTCCCACACAAGCTGCTTCTGTTCTCCTCTTTCTTGCCCCTCTGTTTCCAAAACTCTGAAGTATACCTCATTTTCATGCCAAAAGATCTGTCCCCTGTCTTCCCATTCCTGC